TGGCATATCTCAATGGTGTTGCGTGTTTAGCATGGTTCGTTGTCCTCAAGATACGAACAAGTACAATTTGCAGTCTTGTGAAATTCACAAATCAAAAATGAAATACAGTGCTGAACAGAAATTATTCAGAGCCAATACATTTGTAAAGCATTCTTCATGGAGGAAATGCCATAGAAAGTTTCATAGGAAGTATCCTGATAGTACAGTGCCATGTAAAGCAATGATTTACAATACCGTAACAAAATTGTGTTCTATCGGATCAGTGCTGAACAAAAAGAAATCTCAAAGTGGTTACATAAATAGCTAAAATAACAGATTCCAGAGCACACAAAATTCTCATCCATTCATGAAATGCCATTGAATGATTTAAAAGTTGGGGTTCGGTGTGGAGGATAATTGGGCCCCCCGTGCTCTTTTACAAAACAATTCCAAACAATATGCAAGATTGATTCTCTCAACATTCTTTGAGCAACAACACACACTATGAACAATTCTATAGTGTCATCACACGAAATCTTTGGCAAACGAGTTATAAGTCAAGGATTGTAGTCTTCGCATTCACTCAAATTAAATCCTTGTGACTTTTATTTGTGGAACACGCTGAAAGAAAAAGTGTGTATGAACAATCCGCACTCCTCAGAAGAAAATACATTACGCATAAAATTTCCCCTATTCCCATACAGCAACTTCGATGTGCGTCTAGGAACATGTTATCACAATGTGAGGCATGCTTAGAAGCAGAGGGTCATCAATTTGAAACTCTTCTATAAAATAAGGTAAGTTAAACTACAGTGGAAAAGCGGGCACTGAATAATAACTGGCTACCATGGCGGGTCTACGCGTGAAGCATGCTGTATCAGCTGCCAGATCTAGTCTAATGATTAATGATATACCCTTACTTTCAACGGTCGAGTATAGAAAAGTGTTTTTTTTGTACCACATGAAGGTAAACTTCTAAATCACAGTTCCATCATTATGTAGAAAGGAAGGAATTTCCAGTAATATAAGTGTTGTACATCTGGATTTATATACATGTTTTTATTTTATGAACCTATAAACATTCTGGGAACAGTAATTTTTATAATAGAAAAAAAAAAAAAGAACATTATTCATAAATAAATATTCTTTCAAATACTTTTTGCTACAAAATTTTAGCACGATGGTTGCATAAATATACTTTTTCTAATACTAATACCATTACTTGTTGAATCCAGATGTTAAAATCCAGCCACCAGCCCTGTAGTAAGGGGATTTCAACTAATTATTCCAATATTATACGACATTAATATGTACAATCATCTTAAATACTATCCAGTCAATAAACTAGTAACATCAACAAATGCAATTCAAATAGTTGTGACTGAGGATAAACTGTGCAAGACTTCCAAGTTGTTGATCACCAACCTAAGAAATACTTTCAAAAATAACTCTGTTACCTGTATCATACTTGTAAGACAGAACATAACAAATTCACGGTATGTTTCTGCTGCCAAGTGAGTAATATCAGCCCTAACCTGGATGGCTTCAGGGTGACGTTCCGACAGTGGGACACTTCTTGATACCACAGAGATTGGGGTTGGTATTGGGGGTGGCAGCTTCTCTCCACGCATGTATGCTTCAAAGTTGCGAACGATGAGTGGTACTGCATCCTCCAATGGCATGTTTCTATGTTCTGCAGGTGGAAAACCATTACTGCACTACACAACACTGATCTCAAACTCTCTAAAACTATGCTACTCCACTCCATGCAATACCTCATCCATAATAGCAACAGGTTAGGTAGAGAATTTAAAAAAAATACTTATCACAGTTCAGAGTTAATAATAACAGTAGACTTAAGTTATTTTACTAATGCAACATTTGATGCAACTCATAAAAAGCAATATCTCTGAAAACATAACTGAATATTGTATCACAAGCCATACTTACAACAGATGCTATAAACTGCAGTACATTTTAGTATTAGTATTATATTCCTCTGAATGATGAATGTAACTCATGTTATCCAAATCATTTGTAACAATCCTTACCCGAACTTCACTATGCTTGTACCATCACAAACTTGTCATTGACTTTTAGCTCTTGTCCGACTGGTACGTCATTTGAATGAGAATATTAAAATGGGTGGTTGGGCACCATTAACCAATGAATGTTAATATGTTCGAAGAGGTGGGGTATGGATTCGGGCAGGTTAACAGGCAGTCAGTGGTCTCAGGGATATGGGATGCTGTTAGCAGAATGGATTATGTGATAACCTAGGTTATTATTTGTAGTAACGAAGTTGTTTAAATATATGAACAACATATTTAGAGTTCACAACACTGAAGGTCAGACTGCTAGTGAAAGATAAATTGCGATGAAAGTAGTTTCTTCAATATCCTTATTTTTTTAATAATATGACACACAATCTAAGTTGAATATTTAAAAGCTAATTGCAGAAATTCAGGTTAAATTTTATTAACTGAACTTGTTGCAGAACGATATGGAGGTCCATCCACTATATCCGAAAACTGACTTGAGAGTGTTGTAGTGTTACCCACAACAAGGAAACATACCTTTTTGCAGGACGATGCAATACTCACACAACAAATAGATTAAAATTGATGAGCCCTAATTCATCAGTCAGACTGAGACTTCTTGACTGAACAACTACATTAAGGTGAGGTAATAAATCCCAATGGCTGGCCATCAATTCTGGAAGTTTCCACGAAGCTGAACTTCCTATTGGGTGTGAGGCGAACAAACGCACCCTCAGTGGAAATTTTCACCAACCCTGGGAGCTGACCTTGGTTGGTTTATTTAACCTGAGTTTTGAATCTGTGCCTCCTCCCATGAAAGAGTCTACACTGTACCTTAAGAAAAAAGCTGGGGATTGATCCAAGAACTTGCCCCAAAATTCCCAAGATTTGGTGAAGCAATACAATTTGACGTAAATTAAGAAACAAAATAATAAGGTCGAGATCAGGAAACATGTTATGTATGTCCATATCCTGAAAGGCTCCTAATTTCAATGTTACCATGGATAAACCAACAACCGGTTAATATATGCATATAAAATGCAGCCACCATGGAAACAAGGATGGTGGCATAGTGGTGAGACATCGTAAAATTCTGGTGAATAATTAAGATAAACAAACTGTCAGAAACAACCATTCCTCAGCCAGTTTACAAACACAAAACTCCATGTATGTGAATATAAAACAGAACAAACTGTCAGAAACAACAATTCCTCAGCCAGTTTACAAACATAAAACTCCATGTATGTGAATATAAAACAATCCACTACGAGTTCAGTAACACAACCTAACACATGACAAAACAGTGAAAATTTCACACATTTAAAAATGGTATTTTGTGATACACAAAACTACCCGAAATAAATGTTTCTGATGATAATTCAGTTCACTGGTTGCACATAAAATTCCTTATTACAACGTATAAAATATAAAACAGGGGCCAACAAATATGATTATGAAGGGAACAACACATGAAATCACCATATTTTTACATCCATGTGACTTTAGAACGCACAATTCACAATAAATTAACTTTTAACACAATACGCCTGATCAATAAGTAACGTAAAAATTGTCTTATAAACATCAAACAAGTCTGTCACCATGACATAGCGAAGCAAGCCAAACACACAAAAAAGTGTAAAAATTTGACGATTACATGACTTTTAAAACGCATTACCAGAAATGTGTCATTCAAATACCGAACACCAATTTGACAACGAATGTATAAACCAGCCTTCGACACTATATATGTAACACAAAAGTCAGTTCCCAATGATAAACAAATGAAGTAAATGCTCTGGAGAATGTCAAAACTAGTAAACACGTAGCATTTAAAACACACAAATTCACTGCCATAAATAACAGTTTAAATACAAACTTCAGTTAGGCAGCAAATGCACAGAACATCATGAGATTTCGGGTTCTCACAGCGGCGAATATAAACGTAGCTGTCTTCTAGGTCATTGCGCCATGATGTCTGCAAGAAGGTTACCAACATTTCAGAAGTGCTTGCTACCTCCACCATCAGAGTGATAAAACCCCTGACACTTCAGTAAATTTCTACAAGACTACAATGTGCAACAACCCACAGGACAGACATCAGCACAGAACACTGGTATGTAATACGAAAGAAAGTACGTTGCTATTAATATAATGGGACGGTGCCAAACACATTAGAAAATGTAAAAATTGATGAACGTGACGCGTGTAAAAATTCGCAAACATACATCCACAAATGCGCAGTTTAAATAACAAACACCAGTTAAGTAGCAAATGCATAAAACATCCAACACCACGTATGTACATGTAACGCAAAACAAAATCTGTTCTCATAGATATCATGGAAGGAGCCAAATAAACCACAGAGTTCAAAGTTTGGTGTTTAAATAAAGAGCCAAATAAACCAGAGTTCAAAGTTTGGTGTTTAAATAAATAAATATCAGTACGCAGTGCTTAAAAAAGACTCAAATTACATCATACCAAACGAGTGGTTTAAATAATAAACTCCAATTAAGTAGTAAATGATTAGAATATCCAACACAGTACATGTTATGTGAAATGGAGTATGTCAACATATATAACATATAATAAACGGACCCACATTCACCACAGAACTGTAACTTTTATGGATACATAGGAAGCGCTTTAACAGTCCAAACAAATTATATGAAATGAGTGGATTAAGTAATGAACAGACAGGTAGCAAATGCATGAAAACTATTCAAAACCACATACCATGAGTATGTGCACCAGACCAAACACATGACAAAATCCTTGAAGAAGAGTCCTTGCTGAGGACCTGATACTCAATCAGCTGTTCAATAAATTCCTTTTGTCATTGGCAGCTCATTACTGTGATACAAGCAACAACCACTGGACCCTGTCTTGAACCAATTTCATACAGTTCACATCCTAACACGTGCTTTCCTTACGGTGACATATAAAGCTGGCGTGAAAAACACAAAATAGCTATATATATGTCAGTGAAATTTGAGAAGAAAAATTACACCCACAAAAGAAAGTGCAGTAAACATGTATAACAACAAACTATGTAATATTAATAGTAAAAACACCTATTCCTTGCCTAGGTTCTTCTTAAACTGTACCAATATGTGTGTGTATTCCTACTGACCAATGTTCCATTATTTAACAGTATTTTGCTGGGCAGTGATTACTTTATGCATTAAATGGTCTCCAGCAATTAAGTACTGGTGAGCAAAGATTACTTCTGGGCTGTAAACGGATACTTAGCAACCAAATGGATAGAATTGTATGGAGAAACAAAGACATATGTACGGAAAAAGCTGATATATATGTATATTTTAGAAAGTACTTTAAATCTGGACAATGACAGTCAAAGAAAGTAAACTCCAGGCCATAATCTAGAGACACCATCAGGTGATCATAATACTGTACATGAATATCATGTGCATATTGGGTAATACACTTAAGGAAGACAAACATTTAAAAATATTTTCATTATTAACAATTACTTTAATTCTATGTAATACGAAATATTACAAACAAAAAGCAAAAAAAATCTGAAAACAAATATACTACAATGAAAGTTGGTAAAATTGACACAATTTCAAAACAGAATTCCTCTGATAGCATAAAAAATGATAAGGGAATCAGGACTAGGCAGAGACTAAGATAAGGAAGATATACAAGGGAGTTGAGAAACTGTTGACAGACTTAAAAGGAGCACTTATGTGAGGAAGAGAAGACTATCAGAAAACAACTCACCCTGATGAAAAAGTCAACAGAAGAAGAAACATCACCTATGTTACTTTGGTATGTTCATTAAACCATAAGGTTTAGTCATTAAATGGTTCCAAAATAAATCAAAATGTCATGAAGGGAGAACTTTCACAAACACATTCCTGAAGGTCATAAATCAGAAAGTTTGAAGGGGTGTCCACAGTGTGCACAACTGAAATGTTTGAACAGCTGACAAGATAAAATGGTCACTGGATATTTAGTTATTTCTTTGATATTAAACCCTTCAAAATCCAATGGTAACTAATTCCCTAACTGCTTGAACAGCCAATAACTTCTCATTCTGCATTTAAGATTTTTCCAAGGTTCTCAGTGTAAACAGCGATTACTTCCTTAAACAGAGTTACCAAATTGAAGTTAGTGGTGTTTTCTTTGCAGTATGGATAGAATTTGTAAATATTATTTAGACAAATATCTCAAAATACAAAGTATTGAACAATAGCACAGTATGACTAATAAACTGGAAATGATGTGGAAGGAAGCAGTTCTGGCCTAATTTCAGGTATTATCCAGGCACTTGATAGAGAGACTGAGGTAAACCACACAAAACCTCAGTCAGTACAGCTGGTCTCTGTACTGAAAACTGGACCTGTGACCTTCAAAATATGGAGTGCTTTTCACTCACATGACGTTCAGTACGTTTATAGCAGACATATAATGTCTCCCTTTGACCTCCAAATACATTCACCTTGAAGATGGCAACTGCAATATTTATCAGTATGATGCAACACCATCAACATAAAATGGTGGTTAATCCCTGAAAATTTAAGTTTTACATTTCTGACTGCACACAAATTTCAAATAAATAAAATGGAGTTTTAAATCCTTTCCTTTGGTAAATGTTCATGAAGTGTAATTTTTTTAAGAAATCTTCAATATGATTGTCATAACAAGGTTTTATTTCCTCCTGACATTTAACAAAACATGGAAATATCCTCCATTTTAAACTTTGGTCATTTTTCACCAATCACAACCAATTTTCAGCTTTGCTGCTATGAACTGTGGGGGGAAAAAACTGGAAATACAAAACAAGCAAATCACTTGAGAAACCTACAAAACTGAGGCAAAATGCACAGAATTCCATACCAAAGAAGCAAGTTGTGAACAGTGCACTATAAAGTACAGGTAAACCTCGATTTGCGCCGATTCAGAATAATGCCGCTTTTGAAACCAGAAAGTCAAAAAGTGAAAAAAATTTTTTTACTATTATTTATAACGTTTTACAATGTTTCTCGTACTGATTCTTATACTAAATCGTAATTCTTACATCGCTGATTTTGAATAAAAATTATAAATACAGTCACCTCTGCACTCATTGCTAAGTATTTGCGAGATATCATAAAAATCCGCCAACATTGCGCAACAGTCACATGAGCATTGGTCATTCTTTATGGTGAATCATTTGCGCTCAGTTAGCTTCTTGTTGACACATTGAATGTGCTGAAAACTGTGTGCTGAACGTGTCTGTGTTGTTGTTCGACCACTATTCTGCAGTAGCAACTGTTTTATATTTATAAATTGTAGAAGAGCCACCATGTCTGTTAAGAGAAGTGAATGTGTTGCTAAAAACTTGAGTAGGTCTATTTGGTTAGAAGATAAGATGGACGTAATTCGTAGAATAGAAGGTGGTGATACTCGCCGTAATGTGTGCAGAAGTATGAAGTTGCCTCCTTCCACTGTGGCTACCATAATGAAAAATTCATATAAAATAAAACAGTCATTGCAACAGGCTACGAGAGTAAGTGCAACGCAAGTGAGTTATAGCAGAAGTAAACTTTTAGAAAGAATAGAGAAATTACTGTTGCTATGGGAGGATGACATGAATCGAAAAATCATTCCCTTGACTGAAATTGCTATCACGGATAAGGAGAAGTCAGTTTTTGAGGAACTTAAGTCGTCAATGTTTGGGTGCCGGGAACGCATGTCATCGACTTCCCATTGATTTACATTATAAAAAGAGTTTCAATTTACGCCGGTTCATCCAGGAACGCATACCCGGCGTAAATCGAGGTTTACCTGTACTTTAATTGAAAATGCATTAAACAAACTGAAATTATATAATACATGATTTAATACTATTATGATGAAATTTAAATTTAATGGCACCAAAAGAAAAGTGTATTGTAATACTGTAACAGTAAGATGAATCCAAATTATATAAAGCATTACCAAGTGAAACAAGTACTTTCTGTCCAGCTAATTATTATGTTCTGGGTATCGTGCGTGAGGAAGGTGACATATCGCTGATTAAGTTTTATTTCAGCCAACACAAATAACAAAGCACATTAGTATAAATCAAACCTGACCAACACAATACTATCATGTGCTGATAATTTAATAAAGTTAAGCCGTTAAATTTACCTTGTGGTAGTCCATGTAAAATGTTCAATGTGAGACTGCGGTGTTCTTCATTCTGAGGCATTACCACAATGGCATACAAACTGCCTCGATTGGCTATGTTGGCCAGCACACGGCCAATTGGAACCTCCTCATTTGGAAAGAGGAGGTCCACTGTTAGGCCCAACTGTTTGAGGCGATGCTCAATATATTCGGCATATTCCCTGCAACACAGCAAACTGACCTAATTTATCTCATTTGTAGCAGGAAATCTTGCCTTCACTGTCATATGATTCCCATATATTCTCAGTTCATCACTTCAAATAAGTCATGATAAATAGCACAAAAGCAGTGGGCCCTACCACAACTGTAGCCAGAGAACACAATTTGCCGTGGTTCCACAGAAGAGGAAATTTATCCTGTGACAAGCTAAATTAAAAATAAACTAAAAATCAGGGGGAAAGAAACTTTGGAAACCTTCATCACAAAACTTGGTACACCACCAAGTCCAACAGATTTCAACGACCGCAAACAATGTCATATCCAATGGGATTAATAGTAAAATTTGCATAGTTTGAAAAAACAAGGCCCAATATGTTGACATTATCTTCAGAATAATTATAACCCAGGTAAACAAATGTAGGAGAAATGACCTCTCCTTTCCATTTGAAATAATAATTAATTAGTGGATCCTAAACAAATATAAAAACTGAAACCAGGGACATTAAAGGCCCCATGAAAAAGGACATGAATTGAATCCATAGACATTCTGCACAAAATTACAGGTCAGATCAACATTTCCACTGACAAAAGTGTCACAAATAGCAATTAATGTGCCACCACTACTATGAATAGTGCGACATACTCTGTTGGCACAATATACAGTGTTGTGTTTCTGATTAATAAACAATTCACCCAATCAAGTTTCAGTCAGAAAAATCATTTTAAAATCTAAAGACCAAACATTTTCATAAAATTCATCCACTCACAAATTTCATCCTAAGACCACAAACATTTTCATAAAAAATGTCCACACAGTTAGATATAAATGCCACCATATGCACTAGGTCAGTCTCTCTTATTTTTTATTTAGTGTTCTGTCTGACGATAGGTCCATATGAACAGGATCCTTCCATCCTTTTCTCGGACTGGGACCTGTTCATATACGTTCTTGGCAGATGATCCAGAAGTGGTTTGCCATTGCCTTCTTCTGTGTGTGAATGGAGTAATTGTTGGGATGCCACGGAGGAAAACTCCGTGTTGCCTAGACCACGGCCTTGCCCAACACAAGTTATAAATTCGGGCACCGCCGGGAATCGAACCCGAGACCCCAGGATTACAAGGCCAGCGTTCTAACCGCTAGACCACCGTGGCATTAGTCTCTCTTACTAACATTAAAAGAGATGGCCATCTCAGCTAAGAAAATTGCTATCTCCACATGCACCACCACCACCCTCAGGCAGCACTGTATTCTTGGAGAATTCATGTGCACCAGCTACTGTAATACAAAATTAATCCAAACAGGAACAAAAATGAAGATTTGTCTTCTGGACAAAAATATAAAATCCAAGTATAGAAATTTGGTGAATGTGGAACACGAAATGTTTTGTCACACAGATAATCTTGGAATTACAGGAATTGAAACTAACCCTCTCACTCTCTCATAATAACAACAACAATAATAATCTATAAACTATACTAGGAAAGGATTCAACAGAATCTCTACAAAAACAGCTATACAAGGAACACCACATATAATAATTAAGTGCTACAATCAGAAACCTTAAGCCAGATTAATGGCACTGCCACTGCTAAGACGAGACAGTGGTTGGAGTGACAAATTGGTTTGTACTATCATTGCTAACAAATATGACTGTAATGGATAAGGTAGTCTGTGTTCTGCACTAGACAAATGCAGTTATATGAAAATTCTCAAACTTAGAGACAAGAAAATCAAACCAAGTTTGAGATTTTTCTCACCTCATCCTAAAAAAGGCGAGACTCGCACATGTCTATTAGAATATCTGTCTACAAGGAACTCCAAATTAAAATGTTGTTAACAAAGAGGTTTACCTTTGATTTTTGTTGACAACAATAATCTCACAGTCATTTGTCCTGTCCACCTGTCCAACATTAGCAGGTGCTGAATAATCTTTCCCTCTTGGTTCTATGCCAGGTCTATATGGGGCGCTGCTAAAATACATGAATTGCATTACTTTGTTATACGGTGATCATGAAGGATTAATCTCAATCAGAATGATTATGACACATACTCCAAAAACTATATTATGCGAAAATGTTGCTACACACCCAAACCCTCCTCGATCATCTCTGCCTGAAATGCCTCCTCTGAAATTGTCTCCTGAAAATGGCCCATCTTTCTTAAACCCTCCATCCCGACCATAGAATCCACGGTCGCGGTCACGATCACGGTCACGGTCACGATCACCACCCTTTCCAGAGAAACCTTCATACCTGCAACATTACACATCTGTTCAAAACAGGTATTAAAATACATGACCAAGGAGATGGATAAGTGAAAAACATCACACATCAAAGCATCAGTAACTTAACCACTAAGCTAATCTAGTTTTTCTACTTCTTTTTCTGTCATCTGGGGGTATATCCCTTTGAACGTTAGTTACAGTACTAATATGTAAATGACGTGGGTGCTAAACCAACCCTTGCATTTCAGTAACTTAATTCTTAAAATGCCCATATCTTCCAAAATACCAACTTTTAGACATGTTTACTGGGCCTTTTTGACTTAAACTGAGCCCCAAAACACACCCTTAAGCTATAGACACCCTGCTGTGGGACATGTGATATACATATACAATAACAGATAGCACAATGGGATTTATTTTGAGGAAAATAAAAATGTTGGAAATTTCTGTAAAGTACATACAATTTAACATACATCCCACTGTGACACAGAACAGGGTGGCACATTCAAAAGTAATTCTGACGAAGAAAATGGAATAAAGCAGTTAAAACAATGTATTAAATTTTAAATTCCACTTCAATATCATAAACACATACTTCATTTACAACTGACTGCTTGATTCGCATTATGCCCAACTAATTATTTTCCTTCTCAGTTTGGAATCAGTTCAGAAAACTTATAAGAGAAATTTTTGCATGCAGACGAACATAGTTATCATCTCTGTGCACTAAACTGTCTTGAATATTAGCTGTGACATCATCAAAGTGCTTCAAATTACCACCAAAGCCCTCCCCACTGGGAAGACGTGCACTGAACTCTGGCACTCACACTATAGTATATTCCCAAGTGAAATACAAGGAACCTGAGTCATCCAGAAAAACGTCAAACACTGGAACGGTGCAGTACCTTCTTAGACCTTTCGCAAGACTTTATAAGGGAAGTACAATGTGAGTTCAGAGTATTTTGCTGTGGAGCTAATTAAGAGACCTATGTGTGAAGAAATGGTTACTGAGGCAGAGTGGAGTGACAGCTGCAAATTGATACTGGGCAAAAACTGCATGAAGAAGCCACACCATTACTTCAAGCATGACATAAGGACCAACAAAACTGCAGTCATGAATAATAACTGATCGCTATAAGAGTGACTGATAAATCGAGCTTAAATAACATGCAGTGTAACTATAAATTATTATATTACATGTATAAAGTGAAGCTTTTGTGGCAAACAAAGTTGATGAAATACTCTTGGGCAACAAGCTGCGTCAGGTGGCTGAATGGTGAATGAACCATTTCTTCCACCAATGTTTCAAGAGCAGAGATGGCTCTCAAAACAACATAAGAGGACACTACCTTCTTTATTATAAAGGTGAATATTTTCAGTTTTCTAACAAAGTTTACTTTTACTATACACCTGAAAATTCAAACTGGGACAGGAAATACATCACAGCCAGCCTTTCAGCTGCTGACAGATTTGAATTAAACTGTACCTGTCACGATCACGTCCCCTGTCATCCAAAGGAGACCGTTCCCTGTAACTGTCTCCTTTATCCATTGAGTCACCCCTCCGAGTGCAACCAGGACCATCCACACCTCGACGGCCTCCGCCAAAAACTCGGGCCTGGTTTACCTCTGTAATGAAATTATGTTTAACCTTTAGTCTTTAAATGCCCAAATTACCATACTGCTGGCTGGAATTTAACTAACTAGATGACTTACCGAACCCGAAGGTTCATCACCGAACTAACCAAAGCCCTCCACCGGTCCCTGTCCTGGGCCAACAAAATCCATTCTCCTTCAACTCCTATCTCCCACAGATCCCGCCTGAGATTATCCTCCCATCTACGTCTAGGTCTCCCCAGAGGTCTCTTCCCCTCAGGCTTCCCAAATAGTGGACCCAACCAACCAGATGGCTTACCGAACCCGAAGGTTCATCACCGAATTAACCAAAGCCCTCCACCGGACCCTGTCCTGGGCCAACAAAATCCAGTCTCCTTCAACTCCTATCTCCCATAGATCCCGCCTGACATTATCCTCCCATCTATGTCTAGGTCTCCCCAGCGGCCTCTTCCCTTCAGGCTTCCCAACCAATACCCGCTGCACACCTCTTGTCCCATCCATGCGCGCTACATGCCCTGCCCATCTCATTCTTCTCGACTTAATCACCCTGACAATACTGGGGGAGGAGTACAGATTTTTAACTGGAATTTAACTAATAATGGTATTACTGTAGCAGTGACAAAATGTATGTAAAATATGCTTAGTTTTTTTTGGCATTTACAGCTAGAACTATCACCTTAAAGAGTTTGTGTCCTTTTTATGGTAATTTATGATAAATTACCGCATCAGAACCTGATGTGTCCCATTCAATCCCAACCCCTCTTTGTCTTCTTGAACTATCTTGGTGGCATATTCTACAGCACAGTTGTATAGTCATAAAGCATCTCATTGTTCCAGATTATTCTGTACAGGAAATGCATCAGATAAATATTTTCCTATACAGACTTTACTACCCTCCTCACTCACAAGATTACTGAAAGTAGCTATGTCCAGTCCCACTGTACTCACATTCTTTCTCCAGTATCTGGCAAATGTAGAACACTTGAGCAGTAGCTGATTACACTGAAATTCACACTCATGATCCCCAATAATTCTGTCTACAAACAAAATTAACCATGAGAAGAAAGATGCCTAAAATTTTGTATCTAGCTGATAACAGTGACATTCCTCTCAGTTACTAGATTTATCATGTCTTGTAAACAGGTGTAATAACAAATTCCCAGATGAAGATGGCTGTCTTCTGGGTTGCTGCGCTGTGTAGTCTGGTAGAAGTTTCAGAAGTCCTTGCTGCCTCCGTCATCATCAGGATGAGCCAAATGTGGAACACTGGTTAACGAGAACTGTTTTGTTAAATGCATGTGCATGCACAGAATTAAGTACACTGCTCCCCGGATATAACGCCGTTGTTTATATCGCGGATTCGGATATGCTGCGAGTCTTACTGCCGGAGTCCGTTCGGAGCAAGAATTAATGAATTGGAAAAAAAAATTGTAGGGATCAGTTATAGCACAGTTGTCTTATAACGCGGGTCAAAACCCGCCCCCCGAAACCCTGCGGTATAACCGGGGAGCGGTGTACTTGTGTATACCGTTAATTTGTGACCTTAGTTATACAAATCCAAGCCTTTCTTCTCCAACAGAAAAGAAGGTTACAACACCATGCAAGGAAGTGGTGCAAACTTTCTACAGAGCACTTCAGTTGCTGATGCTTCCATCATGTGGCTTCTGAACATGGTGCTGACTGGTCACTCTCAAACAGCAGATCTTGACTCAGCTGCCAGTTCAATTTTAATATTTAATAAGTTTACCAGAATGGTAACTAGTTCAATAAGAATGATTGGGACCACTTGATTTTACTTCAAAATGAAACCTACCCATCTTCTTTCCTCGAAATACAGCCCCATTTTCTTGTTTGATGGCTTCAACTGCACTGCTCTCCTGTTCATACTGAACAAATCCAAACCCTCGGTTTAGCGCAATTCCTGTAAAATAATCAATGAATGGTGTTATATCTTGAATTAACTCAAAATTACCACAAGAAATTCAAGCAAAACCATATGTAATCCTTAACCATCTTATCATTTGACACTATATTATCTGCGTTACTTATAGTTTCATTAAATAACAAGTAAATAAATAACAATAAAAAAGTCTTTACAATTTAATAACTGCTCGTCAATCTTCTAACATCATTTTATTCAAGTCCTCACTTCTACCAGGTACAATTAATTTGTGTAAGAAATAAAAGGGGATGGGCATTTTATATGCTTATGAATATAAATACCTGTAGTTATTCCTACATAAGAGTTACTATTACAAGAACAGATACCAATGCATGATGTCAACAAATAACACTTGCCATTTAATCATATCATAGTTGAATATACATAAAGTTAATTAAATTGATTGTGAAAAGCTTCTGACAACTAATCTGTCTGGAGAATTATAATGTCTGATGTCTTCCAATATATAACAGGCAAAGGTTACCTAACTACATGTTCTGGGATCTTCCTTGGAAAGACAAAACATACTCAGCTGTTGAAGAAATGACCATGATCATAAAGGTGTGATACTGCAGCCTGTTCTAAGCCAGAATCAAGCCAATACCATCATATATCTCCTTATGCTCCATTTTAATATTATTCTTAGACTCTTCCCTTAGAAAGTCTTTCAAACAGAATGCTGTTTTCAATATTCATTGTCCCATGTGCTCTACACATTCCAGCACAATCAGCAGCACTGATTTGATTACAATTACTGCATGACCTGGCAGGGGCAGGGTCAAGTGTTGGTTAAAAGTAAAAAAGTCATGTGCCAACAAACAACAATATCCTGAGGCAAAACAGCAAATTATTGTCAACTACTTATACAATTTATAGGGTAAAACATTCCATCAGTTGGAAAATGTGTTGCAGATATTCCTTTTTGAGGAGGGGGGGGGGGGAGCAACAAAAATGAAATTGTGAAATGGCTAAGGGTGCAAACTGTAAGACCTAGATTATGTGTTTATTGTTTGGATAAGGCAAGTGAATGAAAAACATAAGAAAATTATGTTTACAGTCACCTCAATTCAATTTCAACATTGGTGGTTGAAAAAGTGTGGCGCTCTTATACCGGCAGAACCAACTTTACGATGAGTTTCAATTCGCAAGAAATTTGATACTACAAGAAAATCATTCTGGTGAGTCCCAACTTACCTAATATTGCGCCGTGTTTCTTAAATATTTCTTCAAGATCTTTCTTAGTCATTTCCATAGTTGGTATGTTGCCTACAAATACTCTCGAATTTGCTGTAGACGGATCAGTCATATTGGGACCATCACCCTTGAACTGATCTCGGAAACTCATATTATTCAGGCGATGCCGGTACGGTTATTACAAAATTCCTTGACAAAAAATACACATGTGCTATAAATAAATAAATTCTGCATTTAACACACGTTCTTCGCATATGAACATGTTGCATATATATATTCAAAGCCTCATACACCGGCATGCAAACAAACAAGATGGCTACTTCACAACACAGCCCGTACACATTACGTTATTTTTGGAATAATAAGTTGTTTAATAAGTTATACGTATTTTGTGTTTATGAATTTGAAAATGTATTTCAAAACTTTCGAGATTTTATGCATTCAATTACTTACAAGCACGTTTCAAAATAATATATCTTGAATGCCTTATAACAACACTCCCCTCTTAATCGCTACCCACGCACCTGGATTCAAATACATGGCATACTATGAACGCAGATGGTAAACATTAGTCGCTGTAACCACAGAACACAAGTTCCATATCCTTACTGAAGTCAGTCAAAGACTATGTTCTATTTTCTTGCAGGTTAGGAGGCCAGAGTTTTGTAGGAGCTATCTATACGTGCTCCCTGATATAATAAACCGACCCGTTCACTTTTGGGGATGTAAAGATTCCCAGTCCTGCACATTTTGTGATCCTAGCCATTCACCAACAATCTTGTGATCGTTAATCGTCGCTCAGAATTAGCCAATGTCAACTTTCAACTTGTCATTGCAACTGGCATGTAACATTTTCTTTTTCTTCTTCTTCAGTTGGCGCTACAGTCCTCGGGGACCCTGGCCTCCTTCTGTCGTATAAAATCCCTTTCATATTTCGTCTTGTTTTTGACGTCTTCGGTCCACTTCCTTATTCAAAACAGAGGTTATTCGTCTTAGTAGATGGCACACTAGGTAGATGGCAGCAGTAGCATATTTCATATGTTCGCTAGTAAAATGTGATCAACAGAGGGCCGAATTTCGATATTTGCAGCATACCAACTGAAGCCACTATACGGAAAATAAGAAAAATTGCCCATTTGTGTTGTTACCGTTAATTCTGAATTGTTTAAATAATGGAACTCTTTACTCCAGACGAAGACATCTTCATGCTCTATTTCTATTTGGTTTTTCAAGGGGAAAACACATTTCTATTCCATTATGAACACTATTAGTATTCGTGCGCCTAAAAGGAAAAATAAAAGAATCTTCTAATGTCCAGCTTGTGCGTTAAGACAGACCTTAAGCTAGGAGCGTCATTGCTGCAAATGACAGATTTTTTGACATTTTCAGCAAAAGTAATATTTTCTTTTGGGGCAGTTTCTCAAAATAAGAATGTGTGTAGATTGGTCATATGTATTTACGAGTAAGATGTAAAACTAAGGTACTTCAGTATTTCACAACTCAAAACAACGAACACTGTCGTGTTAAATCTCTAACAGAGTATATTCACGAACATGAACGATTTCAGAATCTGTAATGGAAATATAAATATGAATGTATAATTAATTCTGTATCGATACATCTTTATTTACATTTCCTTCCGTGCAGGCTTACAGTAAAGCATTTGAAGGAAAGGAGACGTGTTAATGAGACGTACTTTTATAGACGGTCAATCCATTTCTCACTGTTCATAAATTCAACACTTAACACCCCTCTACTGGGTAATTCCAATATTTTAATAAATTGTGTCTACGTACCGCCCACTTCCTTCATATTTCTATACACATCATCCAAGCACAAAATGCCGTACCTTACTGGAGTAAAATAGCCCCGATTTCTTACGCTTGCCCTGAATATCGTAAGGTATTTAAGTAGCTGATTTACAAGTAGCGATAAACACGCTACTGAACTAACCTGTCGGTCACGAATTGAAACACAGACCAGTAAATATTCGGCAGGTATGAAAAAGTCGTGAAAGATCGTAAGCCAAAACATAAATAGGGAGGAATTCTGCTGATTATTTCAACTGGTATTATAGTTACGTCACATCCATACCATAACTGTAAGTAAGAAATAATTTCCAAATGCCGTTATGCAAAAACAAAATGGCTACAACGTAACCTCCTGAAATGCTTTATTTTAAAAAAATAAAATAAACTGTCAAGGTCGCAATACGAGCAACGAAGACTGACTGAATCTGCTCTCATCACGTGACTGTGTTTGCTATTTTGAAACAAACAACCACCTGCCATCATGTCTGAATCTTGCAATAGTTTGGCACCAAATCTGCACGACACGGCGTATTCATGTCAACAAAACAAAGACTATACGGAATTGGATGGTGACGCTTGAATTACTGGGGAGGGGGAGGGGGGTGACGTGACAGCAAGCGATGGTTTGTTTGAAACTGCGTCACGACAGATCATCAGGTTCTCATACACACGGGTTTCCATTTGTGGGGAGTTTGTATGAAAACCATGGCACTGCAGGTTAACACACATTCGTAGGCCTACGTTTTGATTTACTGCCAACAATAAATCCAACACAGTGGTTATGAAATTTCTGAGGTGACAGCGACGTTTGAAATACTGTGTGTCAAAAAAAAAAAATCATCTGTAAATACGCAAATTTGCAAAGGTAATTTATTTATCTACAGCGTAAAATTTTGACAGATTTACCTTTACGTTTGAGGGCAATAACCAATAAAAACAGCTATGAAAACTACAAATATGGTGATTGAAGAATATTTTGAGGTTATGTCTGAATCTGTATTATTGGGTACTGGGTACAGGGGCAGCGCAGTATTCTATATTGTATAATTATTAATTCATAATTTCTACTAGCCACTCAACACTAACTGGGACAATTTGGAGAAAAATATGTTCTAAATTATTTCTAGAACTTATGATTTAACTTTACAAAACAACCTAATCAGAAGGAAGACAAATATTCCAAAGTTTATATTCAGAATTAACATTTTATATCCCTGGGGTCTCGGGTTCGATTCCCGGCGGTGCCCGAATTTATAACTTGTGTTGGGCAAGGCCGTGGTCTAGGCGACACGGAGTTTTCCTCCGTGGCATCCCAACAATTACTCCATTCACACACAGAAGAAGGCAATGGCAAACCACTTCTGGATCATCTGCCAAGAACGTATATGAACAGGTCCCAGTCCGAGAAAAGGATGGAAGGATCCTGTTCATATGGACCTGTCGTCAGACAGAACACTACAAATAAAAAAAAATAACCCTGGAACAATTGTTGCAAATATCTAAGCCAGAACAAAGAAAGAAGTTGCATTAGTTATTTTATACTTGACTAGTTGCAAGATTCTACTTCATGAAGTTTTCGAAACAACGGTATCGCAGTTCGAAGTTTCGCTGCCTCACTGTAGATGTAAGTCCAGTATTCGTTGCCCGACAATGACTGGTCGGTTATCTGCTCATACCTTGTCGTGTTCCACTGATACTTGAGGAGGAACTCATTATTTGGACAACAATACATCACAATAGATTAGACTTCTCTATGCTAGTCAAATGGGAAGAGCAATATAAGAAGCATGGTTTTATACTTGCAGAATAATTGTAAGATAATAATTCAATATTTCAAGGTTTATTTATTAATTTTTTTGATCTATTTGGACAATGGTAGGACTCCTTGGATGAGTGATCAGCCCGGTGCAAGGCCTCTACCTATACAAACACAGAAAGACGCGGACAAACATCCATGCCTTGAGCGGGACTCGAACCCACGGTCCCAAAGGCCAGGCGCACGAGGTCCATGCCTCAGACCGCGTGGCCACTGCGGCCGGCTCAACATTTTTGAATTCTTTATTTTAACGGCAAACTCAACAGCTACAGGAACCAATTAGAGTCAGGCAAAAAATAATAATAATAATTTATAATTCACTATTTAAACGATCCAAGAAAATCGTAAGGGGATGAAAGTGAACAAATATAAACTTTATGTTTTAATTAATTCCAAAGCAACATTTCCTAACATGCTGGAATTTTACGGTGGGAAGACGCTAGCCTCATCACCGCCACCGATCAACCTAGTTGGCTGTAATTGCTTATTCAATGCTATTCACCCAATAATTTTATTTCTAGGACGATAAAATGAAGAACACGTGAAATGGGCGGGACATATAGCACGCATGGAGCAGATGAGAAACGTGTACAAAGTTTTAGTTGCAAAGCCTGAAGGAAAGAGGCCACTAGGAAGACCTAGGAATAGAAGGGTTAATAATATTTAAATGTATATCAAGAAATTATACTAGGAGGGTGTGGTTTGGATACATCTGGTTTAGATAAGGGACTTGGCATTTTGTTGTAAGCACGGTAAGGAATCTTTGGATTCTCACAAAGGACGGGTAATTTTACTAGCTGAGCGTACTATCGTCTTCTGAAAAAGTACTGTTAAAAGCTCAGATTACACATCGTTGGATAATAGAAAGATTATTGAATAATAAACTGTATTGGACGCGAAAAGTAGCTAACGTGGCCTAATGTAAAGCCTATCACAAAATCTTCTTAGACAAATCTCATCCGTATTTCGGGTCCAGATTTCAATCCGGGCTGTCTCGAATACAACACGACGTTCGGTTACTTACTGTTGGTATTCGATTATATTTCCACCTCGATCGAATCAATATGACTCGTTGAATTGCCTAATAATAAGTCACTTAGGTTTCTCAAGCTAATGATTATTGTATTCGGGAGGTTACCGTGTTACAAGCTATCCTGAGATATCTAAAAGTATTTCTCAGCGTTTCCAGGTGAATACCAGGATAATTCGAAACAGATAACCTCCACAACTTTTAAAAGTCTTACCTATTTACCATTCAGGATAATATTTACACCTAATTCATTAATGCATAACATTAGCAATTACAACAACAGTGCAGTTAAATAATTTAATAATAATCACAATAATTTATAGGACCGTAATTTGGTAATTAATGCTGCAAACCAATTTGTTTTACACCGTGATATGTACTCTTTATGTTCTCCATCTGTCGAAAGGTTTTTAGACTCCATCCTTATTTACTATACATCAAAACATCGACCTATGTCATCATAAGCCGCGTCATCAATGTTGTCATTCAACAAGACCTCTCGCTGGAGCATGCGCTGAATGGATCATTTCCTGGTTTTAAAAAGTTCTCAACACTGGCATAAGATGAAAGGAACAGTTACAAGGCGAAAAAGAAAAAAAAATCACTTTAACACTCTAAAACACACATATTGCATTCTTGAACCAATAAAGTAGATTGAACTTGGAACCAAAGGAAAAATACCGTCAACAAACATAATGTGGGATTTTTATATGTCTTTTTTTACTGGTAATAACCGAACTAAAGTTATGTTTCCTGAGAGTTCACATTAAACTTTAAATGATTTTTTTGTGAACGTATTTTGAATTATGTCACTCCGACATAAAAACATTCAAAAGCACTCTTCATTCTCTAGGTTCATTATAAGGTTCTGAAGGATTAGACATAAATCCTTCTAATTTCATATAACGGTTACGTATCATATACATGGATCATATAGATAAAATGGTCAGGCATGCAGCATGCACAGGGCGAAGATCAAATACACGTACGTAACAATTTTAATCAGAATACCAGAATGACCAATTTAGCGTATATAAGTTTCAATTTGCAATCAATTTAACGCCGCTGTAACTCAAGAGTAATCACGGTTTACTCCATGAAACTAACTCTATAGTGTAGAGTCCTATTTGAGAAGCTAATAGTTGCTCAATTGGCCAAGAAATTTTATATATTTTATAAATGATCTAGATAGGTTGTCTTGTAGATGAACTAGCTTCGTTATCTGTTTTTTTATATTCTTTAAAGTTTTACAATTATATTAGTGTTCCCTAGGTGGATTATTTGTTTTTATTTATATTTCTTCATTTTT